CTTCTTCCCTCCTGGGTGGTGGTGGGTGGGTGGGGTTCCTCTTCATTCCCCATTTTTAAGAGGGAGGCCCTGACAGGTGATGCCTGATCTGGAGGTGGCCAGGCTGGATGGGAAAGCCACATTAGTTGCTGCCCTGAGCCATGCCATGCCTCTACTGACAGCTATAAGCTTTCGGGCTGGTGGTGGCAAGTAGTTGAGGGCTAGCACTCACACACACGGACTTCTGTGCCTTCCCTTGCTCTCTCTGGAAGTGAAACTGGGTGCCGCTTTCTCCAACTCCCCTCTGCTCTGCCCCTCTCAGGCTCACTGCCTCCCTCTGTCTCTGTGCCTCCTGGCTTCTCCTCCTGCCTCCTGTCCCCAGGTGAAGAGATCTCTCCTCTGTCTGGCTGCCCTGAATCAGTCTGGGATCCATGGCCCCCTCCTCCTCCCCATCTGTCACCTGTTCCCCCCACCGCCTCTCCTCTCTGTGTTCCTGTCTCTCACGCATCTTTCTCTCCCCTGCATGAGAGTCTCCTCCCTGCTGGGGGGGACTCCCCCCCAAACTGCAGGTCTCCCCTCAGGGCCCAGCAGGCCTGGGGGAGGAGAGGGGCAGGCCCAGGTGAGTCGAGAGAAGAGCTGACATTCTGGAGCTTCTCTGGGGCTGTACACGGACCCAGCCTCCTGCTCACTCTCTCATGGACACGTCACTGGACCTCAGGTGTGTCACTAAGAACGAAGTCAGTGAGAGAAAGAGCTGAGAGATAGAAAGAAAAGCAAGGCATGGAGGGGCTTCTGGTGTCGCTGGGGCAGGACCAGTGCACCCACTGCCTCAGGTCATGATCTCGTGTTCTTGAGAGTTCGAAACCTGCCTGCCGGGCCTCCCCAGCACCATCAGCCTGGAGCCTGGAGCCTGCTCGATTCTGCCCCCCCTCTCTCTCTGCCCCTCCCCCCACGTACTGGGTTCTACCCTGTCTCCCAAAATAAATAAAATGTGAACAAAACAAACACTAGCTCCTTTTACTGCCCTTAGAAGATATGGGATAGGGATTTTGGGGTGAATTCTTCTTATGCAATTTTAAATTCATTACCTTAAGGCCAATGAATTAGTAAGAATAATAATGCAATACCTGTTATGTTGTTAGAGGTTGTAGAGGGAGTGCTACTTACCTCATTGCCTCCTCCTCTTTTCCCCTCCCCTTATTCTGTTCCAGCCACACTGGCTAATTTCTCCCCTCTACGGATCCCACCAGGACACTCCCCACCTCAGGGACTCCTTTTGCACTGCTCATGCCCTGAACTCTTCCTGACCATCACCAGCTTCTGCCCCCCTTCACCACATTCAGCCTCTGCTCACAGGCCAATTGCTCAGGGAAGCTCTTCCGCCAGACTTCACTTTAAATCCAATCATGCTCCCCTCACTTGTACCTTGCACTTCCTTCATTGCCCTGCCCACCTTTCCCTTTATCACTGCCTGACAACCTGGGAGATTAAACAACACATGTTTACATTCCCCACGGGTAGGGGACTTTGCTTTGTTTCCTGCTGTGTCCCCAGTTCCTGACCAGTGCCTGGTACCTAAGTAGGTCCTGAACAGCAGTGAGTTTGTTGAGACTCTCCTCTCTTGGGACCAAAGTAAATCACTCATTTCTTTAGACATTCCACCTGCATTAAATTGCTCTATATTTTGTCATTGTCAGAAGCACCTCCCAGATGGGAGAGGATTGGATTTGCTTCATCTTTTTACATGTGATTTTATTTAAAAAAAACATTTTTTTTTTAACATTATTGAGAGAGAGAGAGAGAGAGAGAGAGCATGAGCATGGGAGAGGGCAGAGAGAGACCCAGAATGGCTCTGCTCTGAGCTACTGGGCATAGAGTTCTATCGCCGTGGCTCGGCTCAACTCATCAATTGGAGATTACATATTCTGAAAGGACGCTTCTGGGAGTTTTTCACCCAGGCACCCCATTTTGCTTTTAAAAATCTACAAAGGGGCTTGGGTAAGCGTCGGGTTGCTGCCCCACTGCCAGGTCACCATCTCATGTCCATGAGTTCGAGCCCCGCCGCTGGGGTTCCTGGGGCTGACAGGCTCTGGCACACATGCAGCCTGGAGCCTGCTTCCCATCTGTGTCTCTCTCTGCCCCCCTGCTTCATGCTTGCCCTCTGTCCTGAAAAATAAATAAAAACGCTGAAAAAAAAAAATTTTTAAAAATCTATTAGGGGACCATTACAAACACACAGAAAAAGGAGACAGAATGGCAAGTCAGTTACCCTGGTTACCTCCTGGATATAATTGGATACAAAGTATTCTGCCTTTCTTGTTTCTACAGCATTTTAAAGTGCAAACTCAGACATCAATGACATTCTACCTCTAAATATTTAAGTCACGCCTTCTCAAAAAACTACTAAGAACACAGATAACCGCGAAACCATTTTCATAACAGCAAGATCTTTGGCTCATGTTTTAAGGCAAATTAGAGTACATTATTCTTGCACTCCAAATATTCCCACAGACACGCATTCCCTAATGATAAAGACATTTCCACACATAACCACAACACCATTATCCCTTCTCACAAAACTAACAGAACAATACAACAGTAACTGATGATCAAATGTCAGGAGTTTTTGCTGCCCGGGCTGAGGTCCTTTTCTCACAGGCCCCATAGCAGGAAGCAGGAGAATTGGGAATTGCACCTCGGGCTGACTGGAGACGGCCTGTGACCACTACACACATGAGTTGTGAGCAGAGCCAGCCCCCTACTCTCCCTGGCTGTCACGCCCCTGGCAAAGGAAGTAAGTGAGGGGTGTGGGGAGGAGAGGAGTCACCCACGCATCTGGGCTGACTGCCTTTCGGTAAAAATCTCTTGGAGCCCTGGGCCACAAACTGTCTCCCTTCCCCAGGCTGACGAGGTGTGCAGGGAGGCCGCTGACAGGACCCTGCTGCTTACCAGACAGCGGGCTGCCTGCCAGCTGCTGCTGTCGCCAAGCTGCTGCTGTAAGCAGCTTCTCAGACTTGCATTAGCCCCAGGGTAGGGACTGGATGCTGAACCCCTGAGCGGGGAGCTAACTTGGAACTTAGAGGAGGGTGAGGGCTGGTGGGCCTGGGAGTTCTGACGGGTTGGAGGGCGGTGGGTTCTAAGTCTCCAGCACCCCCCCCCCCCCCCCCCCCCCCCGCCTTAATATCACACACAACAGACTCAAGCCAGAATAATCCTTCTGCTGGGTCTGCAGCCGCACATTGGCATACCCGTACCTGGCCCACAGTAGGTGCTCAGGCAATTATTAGTCGAGCGAAGGTGTAGTTGCACCACAGCCACCGTTGGAGAGTGCGTTTTTATTCCGGCCGCTCTTCTAAGCGCTTTCCTGCAATTTCAAACTGGACGGGCTGGGACTGGGGCTCAGCCCTGTTTTCTCAGAGAAGGAAACCGGCACAGAGAGGTTGGCACCGGTCCGGAGGTCACAGCCAGCCCTTGAGGCAGCAGGGATTCTGACCCCGCAGCAGGAACGTTGCGCAGACTTCTCCACGTCGGATTCTCCCCCACCGACCAGCCGCTGAAAGACAGGCAGGTGGCGCTTCATTTTACAAGAGGTCTAGAGAGGCTGAGAATCTGCTGAGGCAGGGGGCTTGGGATCCAGGGCTTGTCCCTCAGAGCCTCGAGGACCTTTTGTTGCTTTCACTATCCTGGTCGTGAAGTTACCCCTCTCTACTCTTTTCCTCGAAATGTACCGAGAGGGTTGAAAAGCGAGAGGAAACTGACAGCTAGAACCGAATATATAAGGGAACGCGGGGTTGCGGTGGTTCATCAATCGAATAACCCGAAAGCTCCCGGATCACTCGTGTCAAGAATGAGTAATGACTCAGGAGTGAATTTGGGGTGGGGAAGGACTCCCCAGGAGGCCTGGTAGGCGGGGGGATAGAGCCAAAGGCGTGAGCCAGTGGGCGAGTTATAACCACAGGACACGCTAGCGGGCTAGAACCCCAGAACTGGTGGGCGGGAGAGAGCTTGTGTGGGAGGACATGTGGGTGGGGAGAGAGCTTCGGGGAAGGGGTCAGTGGGGAGAGAGCTTCGTGGGAAAATGGTGGCGGGGAGAACTTCCCCGGGAAGGCCTGGTGGTGAGAGCTTCTCGGGAGAGCCCAAGTGAGAGTAGGGGAGGAGCCGGGGTGCGGGGAGAGAGTTTCTCGTCGGTGGCGGGGAGAGAACTCGGGGAAGGAGCCATGGGCGGGGAGAGAGTTTGGGAAGAGCCAGGGCGGGAGAGAGCTTTGGGGAGGAGCCTGTATGGGAGAGAGTCTCCGGGGAGGAGCCCACGGTGAGCCGGGAGAGAACTTAATCGAGGCCACAGTAGTGGGGGTTAGAACCTCCAGGAGGTCTGGCGGAGTTAGAACTTTGGCCTGGGCTGATGGTCGGGGAGAGAACTTTGGGAAAAGATAGAGTTTGGGTCGCTAACTGGGGGATAGTTGGTGGAAGGCATGGGGAAGTGGGTAAGAGAACAAAGATCAGCTGCAGTAGGGTGAGTGTGAGACCGCCCCTGGAGGGCTGAGAGGCAGAATAGACCGAGGCCCTCAAAAGGGGAAAGCACCTAAACTGCAAGAATATACAGACGGTCCAGATGGCAGGACAGAGGCGGAGGACTGGACTGTATCATTGGCCCTCTCATGGGCAAGGCCAGAATTCAAGGAAACATTGTGGCTGTCCTTAGAGAGGCATTGTGGGATGGGAGAACTTGTGGGTGGGGGACGATACAGCTGGGGCTAGAGATAGACTGGAAGCAGTTGGCCTGGAACCTATGTGTTGGAACGCGGTCAATAACGGAGCATAAACTTGAGTGCACAGGTCCGGGGTATTGGGGGCATGAAGGGGAAAGGGGGGACCCTGGCACGAGCTATAACAATTCTTTTCTTTCCTCTTTCTTTCCCCAGCCTCCTTTGGGGCTCAGTGCATGCTGTGTGGGAGGACCGGAAGCGCCAGGTGGAAGAGGTGCCCCGGCCAGGACTCCTCTGCAGGACCACAGTCATGCGCGCATGTGGGAAGGTGAGATTCCCATGACATTTGGTTCCTGCAGGGAACGGCCAAGAACCCTGCCTCACCAATCAGGGAAGTGCAAAAGGAAAAGGGAGACCCCATTTCACACCCACCAGATTGACAAGCATTCAAACACTGACAAAGCAAAGAATGGATGAGAATGTGAGGTTGCAGACCCTGTTAATAGCGGGGTAAATTGGTGCATCCCTCAAGAAAGACCACTAATTTGAAAGGCAATATCTGGTACCAGATGAGATAGCATACCCCACAGCCAGCAGTTCAACTCCTAGGAATATATATAGTGCCCGGAAGAATTTGGACACACGCGCGTCCAGAGACATATATAAGAAGTTGTTCTCAGCAGTGACGTTCAGATAACATTGAAGGTCATCAAAGAGGAGAAACATAGCAAGTTAACAATGAACAAAAGCTGCAGGCAAATGAAATGAAGGAACTAGAGCCGAGGGCATTGAAGCGGGGATACATCTCAAAAAACACATAAGGTTGAGAGAGAAAAGCACGCGCAGTAGAGATACCTTTTTAATATAAATAGTATGTAACAATATACACAAACACTGTCCAATAAACAACAACAGTATGTTAGGCACATCTAGTGTGGAGAATTATCTGTATCAGTAATTGCTTCTGGGCAGGGCATAAGGGCAATGATGTGGGGGGAGTGATCAGGGACTTTAAATGTATCTTAAAAAATTTTTTTTAATGTTTTTATTTATTCTGAAACAGGTAGGAGCATGAGCAGGGGCGGGCAGAGAGAGAGGGTATACAGAGTTCAACGAGGCTCCAGGCTCTGAGCTGTCAGCACAGAGCCCCGACGCTGGAAGTCTGAACTCACAGGCTGAGATCATGACCTGAGCGAAGCTCGGATCGCTTAATTGAAATGTCAGAGCCACCCAGGCTTCCTGTGTATCTTTTAAATTTAAGTTCCTTTTCAAAAAATATCTGAAAATAAAATACAAAATGTTAATACTTTTATAAAGTTTGGTGACAATACAATAATATTTATTATTATATCACTCTCTTGGCAGACATTACAAGTTTGTAACATTTTCCTTAAAATTCCTATTAGAGAGGAGCCTGGGTGGCTCATGTTGGTGGAGATTGACTCTCTGATTCAAGCATAGTGAGGTTCAAGCTCAAAGAGGCATGCAGCCTGCTTAAAAAAAAAAAAAAAAAAAAAAAAAAAAAAAAAAAACTTATTAGAGTAGCATCTCACCGTTAAGCTGGGAGGGGTAGATGATCCAGAAGTTCTCCACAACAGTGTTATCCCTTCCTAAGAGAGAGTAGGTTCTCTCAAATGGGGAGGGGGGGAGAGGGGAGACAGTTGGTCTTACAGAGAAGAGGTCAGCCCGGCGGTGACCATATAACCAGGAGTATCAGAGTCGGGTTGGGCCTTGTGATGGTGACAGAGAGACTTATCTTCTACATACAGTAGGTGGACGAGGCTGGAGGTGCAGGGAGAGAGGCTGTGTCACCTGAGAAAAGCAACAGAGACCATGAGCTATCGGACAGGCGTGAAGATCATCACTCTACGGAGGCCGCAGGTGGGTCTGAATTTGTGCAACCCACTCCAGAGCTGGCAGGAAGCTATAAAGCCCTTGCTATCCCCGACTCCCCAAGACCGCCTGACTCAAACTCTGCTGCTCTCCTGATCCTTTTCCCCCAGCCCCCATGCAAATGCCCAACAAAAAGCAATAGGAAAGGTCAAGTTCCCACAGAGAGGTAGGAAGCAACGGATCCATGTTGCTTGGTCATGCATGCCGACTCCCTTCTTCTGGACTCAGATGAGGAAGGAAATTACAGCCCAGACCAGTCACAATGACGCCAGTTAAGTAGAGTAATAATTCCTGCTTGCACTGCTTGTTCATATCCATCTCGGATCAAACTCATCTGTTGGTAGGGGACTGAATCAGACGTTTATTTTCAGGGAAGGGACACTAGCATCAATCTTGCTGTTAGATTTGCACAAGAAAGCACTAATAATGGAGTAGACTCACTAATTTAATTAAGGTGATAATATTCAAAAATATTTAACAATATCAACATGCATAAGGCATAATGACCAGCTTTGGAGCACCCTCCACTTTAGCTGATGAATCTGTAGGGTTCTAAAGAGAGTTGGGGGGTGCCTTGAAGTTCAGTTAAGGCTAATTCCATCTCACGGTCAGGTTCAAGTTTCCGTCAGGCTTCAAAGGACAACGGTTGGAGCCGCTTCGATTCTGTAAAGCCTCCTTCTCCCTATTCATGCTTTTCTCAAAAAATACTAAACATTACAAGCAAAAAAAAAGTTTTAAGGAAATAAATAAAGAGTTGGAGGTCCACCACAGCAAGCTTGGGCAGCAGCTGTCAATTCAGTAATTTAGTAAGTAGTAAAACTTATACCAGCCCCATTTCTAGTACATTGTATCCTGACATATTAAACCCCATCCTAGCACTTCAGATATTGGGAGGATACAGAGGTGACTCGACAGAAGTTGGCCCAACACTGGCTTACAGTCCAGTGGGGAGGAGTGGGGTGAGAGACCACCAGACAGCGACTGCTAAGATTAGTCAGCTTGGTGGGATGGGGAAGGTCGAGGGGTCAGAGCTGGTAATGGGAAGCATAGTCCGGTGAAACTTTCTTTGGTGGGCTGGAGATAGCGAACAGACACACCAGAGTGATCGGGCTGGGAGGAAATGAAAGCGTTATTGGGGCTGTAAATCTCTAGGGGGAAATACTGGACCTCAGGTTTAGGGAAGTCTCTTCCCCACAAAGCAAATGACTAGGCTGGATCTGAGGGATGAGTAGCAGTCAGATTATTAAAAAGACAGTGGGAAGGGTTTTCAGTATATGTTTACAGACACAAAGGTGGTGAAAGCATTACGCGGGAGGAAAAAAACCTAATAAGAGGAGCTTGTGCACCTTCTAGCAGGGTCATATATTACACACAGGGCCTTCTAGGGCTGGTGAGGAGCACCATCTGGGGGGGGGGAACAGTGGGAGGTCATGGGAAGGGAAGGTTTTGGGTCAGAGAGTGTCACCATCAGATGTGGATTGTTAAACAAATTATTCTGGCCCACAGAGGGAAGCAACGATGGAGGGAGAGTAGATGAGGAGAGTCCAACTCATTGGCTGAGGCTGTCCAGAGGAAGAAGAGGGATTAGAATGTCAGCTGCGTAGGGGCCAGGCGACGGCTGTTGCCTGACTTCAGCCAGGTCATGATCTCGCAGTCCTGGGTGAAGTTCGAAGCCCCTGCAGATCAGGCTCTGGGCTGATGGCTCGGAGCCTGGAGCCTGAGCCCATCATGTTCTCCCCTTTCTTCTGCCTCTGCTCATGCTCTGTCTCTCTCTGTCCCAAAAATAAATAAATCTGGAAAAAAAATTTAGAATGTCAGCCATGCAGCTGGAGAGGAGGGGGGTGGATTTAAGAACTATTTAGCAGAGGGGGCGCCCAGGTGACTCCATTGGTTGAGTATCTGACTCTTGGTTTCGGCTCAGGTCAATACTCCGAGTTTAGAGTTCGAGTCTCCTCAAGATCAGGGTCTGTGTTGATGCGTGAGCCTGCTAGATTTCTCTCCCTTCATAACTTTTCATCATGCTGTCTGTCTGTCTCTAAATAAATAAATAAATAAATAAATAAATAAATAAACAAACAAAAAGTTTTTTTAATTTTTATTCATTTTTGAGAGAGAGAGAGACAGACAGAGCATGAACGAGGGAGGGAGAGAGAGAGGGAGGGAGGGAGACACAGAATCCGAAGCAGGCTCCAGGCTCTGAGCTGTCAGCACGGAGCCTGACTCAGGGCCCGAACTCACGAACCAAGAGATCATGACCTGAGCTGAAGTCGGCTGCTCAACCAACTGAGGCACCCAGGTGCTCCCATAAATAAATATTCTTTAAAAAAGAACTATTTAGCAGGTAGATGAGCAGGACTTAGTGATGGATTAGACATGGAGGTTGGTTTGCAGTTCTGGTCATGATGGGATCACATGTATTGGACTAATCTGCCAGTCACAGCCAGAAAAGCTGGGCAAATTATAAATAATTATTTGAGGTCACTGGAGAGCAGCAAATGAAGAAAGGAAGTTGAGATGCTACGATCCTTGAAATAAGGGAAGCACAGAAGTTGAGTTATGCAGACAAGCTGGGTGTTTCCTTGGGTACACTTTCCAACTCACTGTTGAGGAGAGGAAATAGAACCCAAATAAGGGAGATCATCACTAGGCTGAGAAGACAAGGGTCAGAGTCTAGGGCTGCCAGAGTGTCTAGAAAATGAGAGGTAAAATCCTGGAACACATGGAACCACAGAAAAGGGAGTCCCCAGATTTGCAAACTTCTTTTAAGTCATTGGCAGGCTGTATGTGCATAGGGTGAAACTCCAAGAAACTCAGCAGAAAATAGTATCTGGGAAGTTACAGAACTGAGCAAAGATTCCAGCAGGCATATGATGCTGGAAAGACCAAAGTTGCCAAGTTGGAGAGAGAGAGGCCTTGGTAACCACCCCACGCTTTCCTCTCAGTCCACACCCGAGGCGTAAGGGCAAAACTGAAATAGACCAGCCCTAAAAATGCCTCCATCTGATCGTCAGCAGGAAGAAAACCTACCCCCCTTGGGAAGAAAATAACATTATTTAGAGCCTTTACAAATTTTCATTGTGATGTCTGGCATCTAATCAAAACTTACAAGGTACCCCGAAGAAAATAAAAAGGACCAATTAACAGGAAACCAAGAGAAAAATCCAACAGTAGAAACAGACCCGTAACGATTCAGATAGTAGAGTTATTAGACAGGGAAATTTATTTATATATTTATTTATTTATTTATTTATTTATTTATTTATTTAAATTTTTAAAAAAATTTTTTTTTCAACGTTTATTTATTTTTGAGACAGAGAGAGACAGAGCATGAACAGGGGAGGGGCAGAGACAGAGGGAGGCACAGAATCCGAAACAGGCTGCAGGCTCCGAGCGGTCAGCACAGAGCTTGGAGCCTGCTCCGGGTTCTATGTCTCCCTCTCTCTCTGACCCTCCCCCACTCGCACTCTGTGTGTCTCTCTGTCAAAAACAAACATTAAAAAAATTTTTTTAATGAATAAATAAATAAATAAGCCATGACCAACAGAGTCCAAAAAATAGAGAATAGGATAAATTTTAGCAGAAATGTGGTGTCCCGTTTTTTAAGAGTCAAACAGGAAATACAGAATAGTGACTGAAATTAACAGCTCAATAGATGTGCTTAAAAGATGTGTGCAGTGCGGCAAAAGGATTAAAGAGCTAGAAGACAGGGCAACTAGAGGTATCCAAATTGATGCTGGATGCAGAGGATCAAGGAACCTGCCAGATTTCTGCCCTGGGGGACTGAAGAACTGGGCCACCTCAGAGATGTGGAATTCAGGAGCAAAGGGCCAGTTTAGAGAAGATGGAGAGCTTCCCTTGGGGCACGTAGCGATTCAGGTGTTTGAGGGATGGTCAGGGGGCCTCCAGGAAGCAGTTGGGTGTACAGATGTGGAGCTCAGAGAGAAGTCCTGCCTGGAGTGAGTTCCCGGCAGACACATGGAAATGAAGTCAGGTCGATGAATAGCATCCCCATGGGAGAGCGCGTACCATGAGAAATGAAAACTGCCCAAGACAGAGCCCTGGGGATCACCCACATTTAGAAGAACGAGATAGAAAAGTTCACCAGGGGACCCTAGAGTGGTATGGGAGTGGTGACGGCAAATCAAACCCAGTGGTGTTTGTTGTTGTTGTTGTTGTTTTCATGGAAGTTCATGTTGGAATTTTAGTTATTTTTCTTTAGTGTTGGGGAAGATTTGGCTTTGGATGTAAATGATTCACCTGATTCCAGCAGCTGGCCTGCCAGTTGAGAGAGGGGCCGAGACCGTCCTCTCTCTTATGTAAGACTTGGCCCCAACTCAACTTGGATATTTGGGGTCAGGAAGGGGAGGGCATGCCAGGCTCAGGAATGGTGTGGGCCAAGGCCTGGGCAGAGGAAATGGCTATGGTGTTTCCAGGGAAAAATAATTCATCCTCTTGGCCTGGACCAGAAGGGGTGAGAGGCCGAGTTTTCACAGATCGATCAAGTGAGGCTTGGATCCCTGACACAACTGGGGAGTGTATTAATTATCTGTGGCCGCATTGCAGATTGTCCCAAAACTCGAAACAAAATTAAGCATGTGTTATTTCACAAAGTTTCTGAAGGTCAAGAATCTGGAAGTAACTTACACAGATGATTCTAGATCTTTCATGCAGGTGTAGTCAAGGTGACTGCTGGCTCCAAAGGGAGCTTCACTCTCACGGACAATGTGATCCCATGACTTGGGCAAGGCCTCAGTTCCTCACCATGTAGACGAGTACGCGGAGTATTTGAGTGTCCTAACGATGTGATAGCTGGATCCCCTCCAGACCAAGGAATCCAAGAGAGAGCCAGGGAGGAGTTGCAGTGCCTTTTACGATCTTGCACAAGAGTTATACACCATCATTTCCGCAATATTCCTCTTAGTTATACAGGTCAGCCCCTATAAGGGCACGCATACCAGGAGCGAGGGGTCATGGGGGCTCGGAGATTGGCTACCACAGGGAACGATAGCAGAGTTTTGATCAATTGTTGATTCATTCATTTAGCAAATATTTATTGAATATCTTCTCTGGCCCTGGCCCTGTGCTGGGTGGTGTTGGGACAAGATAATGATGGAGACAGCCCCCCCAGACCTACCCGCTGGGGCTCCCAGGGAGGACCTAAAGTGGGCGTGGCTGGAAGGGGACCCCAGAGGGGCACCTGATCCGGCCTGGGAGGTGAGGGAGGACTTCTTAGAGGAGGTGAAATTTGAGATGATGCCTGAAAAATGAGTAGGAGGAGACAGGGAGAGTAGGGAACAAGGAAGTGTGTTCTGCCTGTACACTCAGGGGCTGTGGGAAGTTGTGGAGGGGTAGAGCCTGAGGGGTAGTGGAGGGCGATGAGGCAGGAGAGGTGGCCAGGACCCAGACTTTGATGGGCCTTGAATGCCGTGCTGAGTAGCTTGGATTTTATTCTGAGGGCACCGGGGAGCCATGGAGGGGTTTTGCGCAGAGCAGAGGCAGGGTCGGATTCATGTATTAGAAGCATCCTTCCAAGCTCTGTGCTGAGAGCTCGGATTCTGTGTCTCCTTCTCTCTCTGCCCCTACCCTGCTCGTGCTCTCTCTCTCTCTCTCTCTCTCTCTCTCTCAAAATTGAATAAATTAAAAAAAAAAATTAGAAGCATCCTTCTAGGGCTGTGGGGGATGCACTTGGTGGGGTTGGGGGGCAAGAATGGAAACCAGAAGGCCAAAGACAAACCTGGTGTTGAAGGCGGTCTGACCTGGTCATGGGGCTGGAAAGGAGGGGATGGATGCTAGAAAGATTCAGGAGGTGGGATGGGCAGGGCTTTGATGATTGGCTGAAGGGTGAGATGAAGAGGAATTGACGCTAAAGTGAGTCTTCAAGGGAACTAGATCTCTGGGACTCTCCCAGGGAGTCTCACCCTCCCACCCCTCCCCAAACAGGTCGGCCTCCCACCTTTCCCCGAACCCGAAGCCGTTACCTTGAATGTGTTTCCTGCGCCTCATCAGACCTGAGCTGTGAGAGAGGCTGGGTCCAGAGCCTGCAATGCCGCAGCCCTGGAGAACAGTGCCTGGAGGTGGTGACCCACCGGACCCTGGAAGGTGAGCCCCAACCTACCAGCAGCTCCTCCTCCCTGCTTTGTCCCGTCCCAAGGCTGCACTTAACAACCACCCCAGAATAACAAGCATTTAAGCAAGGCAGAAAGTTAATTGTGTCACACAAAAGTCTAGTGATCCGAAGTCCTGGGCCACTAGGACAGTTCTACAGTCACCAGGAACCCAGATGCCTTCTCTTCTCTGCTTCCATTCTCAAGATTGCCTCATAGTCCAAGATGGCTGCCAGAGCTCCAGACCTCATGTCCAAGTTCTAGGAAGAAGAATGAGAAAAAGGGACCAAAAAATAGGCACTTTTCCCTTCGTGAGGGTTCTCCTTTCTGGAAGTCCCATGAAATCTTTCTATTTATATCACATTGGCCAGAACTCAGTCACATGACTACACCTGTGGCGGGTAGAAAATGTGTCTTTTGGCTAGATAATGGCTGCCCCAAATAAAATGAGGGTCCTGTAATGAACCACGAAGCAGGAACCGGGCAGATGACTGCTGCCGTGGGCAAACCCAGTCTCAGCCCCGGGCCAGTAGCCTGATCTCTCTCCTCTGCCCCCTACAGGCAGTCCAAGGGATGAGCACCACACCCGCGGCTGTGGCAACCTTCCTGGCTGCCCGGGCCCCACCGGCTTCCACAACAACCACACCTTCCATTTCCTGCAATGCTGTAACACCACCAAATGCAACGGGGGTCCAGGTGAGGGGCAAGGGACGCACGCCACGCGAGGCCTGGGGTCGGGGCAGGGAGGTGTACCCAGGCTGCTGCCACTCACTCGCAGGCCACCCCTCCTCTCTAGGTCTCTCCGTCCTCAAAGAGGGGTTGTGTGGGAATTCGATGAGCCCGTCAAACCTTTACCAAGACCCATGCTTTATGCTTCCTAGAATCTTTCCACTGCTCACCTCCGTGGTCTGAGCCACCTGGAGCCCTTGCCTACATTGTTACAGTAACCTTGCTGGCCCCCCTGCTTCCACTCCTGCACCCTACAGTCAGTGCCCAGCACAGCAGCAAGAGTGATTTCTTAAAACTGTAAACCAGAGCAAGCATGGGCCCCTCCTTCCTCAAGTCGCTGCAGCGACTTCCCCTTGCTCTCAGAATAAAATCCAAAGGCCGTCCTATGCCCTATGTGATCAGCACCTGTCTGCCTCACAGTCTGCACTGATCCAAACTCCATCCTGCCTCATGGCCTTTGCACATGCAGTACCCTCTCCTCCAGGAACACGTCTCGCCCACGGGAGTTTGCCTAGCTGGCTACTTCTCATTTGTTAGGTCTCTGCTTTAAGTATGGTCCTCGGGGAAACGTGTCCCTGTCCCTCCCCTCCAGTGTAATCCAGCTCCTTCTTGTTATAAACCAGTACTGTCCAACAGAACTTCTCACAGTGATGGAAATGTTCGATATCCGTGCCTTCCAATATGGTAGCCACTGCCTCATCTGGCCATTGAGCACTTGAAACGTGAACTGAACTTTGAATTGTAGTTAATACGAGCTAACTTCAGTGCCCATGTAAACAACCACACTTGGCTGGTGGCCACCATACTGGACAGGGTAGCTGGACTCTGTGGTCTTCCACAGCTGCTTGCCCAGTGCCTGGCCAGATGGGGGCTCAGGAGGAGCCGGGAGGTGGGATTTCTCTCAGAGGTTCTATAAAGAACCCGCCAGAAGAGAGTGTCGTTCAAATGCCTGACCACAAGGTGGCTCCAAGACATCTCAGGCTGCGAGTTGACAGTTCTAGGGAGGTAATACACGGAGGGACACCCCTCCACCCCACCTGCCCAGACCCCCGTGCTAATTTCCTCGGTTTCTGTGTCCTTGTCTTCTTCCAAGTTGTGGAGCTTCAAAACCTGCCTCTGAATGGCCTCCAGTGTTACAGCTGTGAGGGGAACAGCACCCATGGGTGTTCCTCCGAAGAGACTTCCCTGACTGCCTGCCGTGGCCCCATGAGTCAATGTCTGGAAGCCACTGGCAGTAATGGTGAGCCCCTCTAGGAGGCTGGGAAAGGAGACGTGTGGTTGGGAGGCTGTGGGCTAGAGGTCGCCTTGACAGAGATGGGTCTTCCCGTGGAAAAGGTAGGACTTCCTTTGGGAGGGCGCAAAGTGTAGGCGGGAATTAGGGCTTCCATTAGGAAAATGGGTGTTTCAGCAACAGAAATGTGGGCTTCTCTGGGTGCGGGGCTTCCCCAAGTGGGTGGGACTTCCTGCGGACATCAGGGGCTCCCATCCTGTGCCATCCTTTCCAGTCTCTCTATTCCAGTGGTTCTCCACGTTTTTCACCTCAAAATTCCCTCATTCTCTTAAAAACTATTACTTGTGTCCATGATCTCTATAGATATTTACGGCATTAGAAGTGAAAAGTGAGATGTATTTATTAATTTATTTTAAAATTAAACTTCATCCCATCTGAACATATTTTTTATTTAAAAAAAAAATTTTTTTTTTAAATTTTTTTTTTTCAACGTTTATTTATTTTTGGGACAGAGAGAGACAGAGCATGAACGGGGGAGGGGCAGAGAGAGAGGGAGACACAGAATCGGAAACAGGCTCCAGGCTCCCAGCCGTCAGCCCAGAGCCCGACGCGGGGCTCGAACTCCCGGACCGCGAGATCGTGACCTGGCTGAAGTCGGACGCTTAACCGACTGCGCCACCCAGGCGCCCCTAAAAAAAAATTTTTAATGCCACTTTCCACAACGAAAACATTTAATGAGAAGACCAGCATTGGCTACCGTTTTGCAAATATCTTTAATGCCTGGCTTAATAGAAGACAGCTGGATCCTCCTATTTTTTTTTTCACGTTTTTTTTAACTTTTATTTATTTTTGAGAGACAGAGAGACAGAGCATGAGCGGGGGAGGGGGAGGGGCAGAGAGAGAAGAAAACACAGAATCCAAAGCAGGCTCCAGGCTCTGAGCTGTCAGCACAGAGCCCGACGCGGAGCTGGAACTCACGAACCGTGAGATCATGACCTGAGCCAAAGTCGGACGCTTAACCGACTGAGCCACCCAGGGGCCCCAGGAGCCTCCTATCTGCTTCTGTATTCGGTCGGCTGCAAGATCACATATCCCAGGGTTTCTGGAAAACCTCACTGCACACATAAAAGAGCGGAAGAGCCAAATGCTGTTTTAGCATTATTATGGGAATAATTTTGACTTCACACTTCCCCTGGAAGGGCCCGAGGGACCACATTTAAAACTGCCGCTTTCTTCGGGTGGCACCCACCACAAGGTGGCATGTCACCTGGGGAGAATTCCAGGCCTAGCCCCAGGAGCTCACACAGCCTTCTCTCTCCTCAGGCCTGGGCAACCCAAGCTACACAGTGAGAGGCTGTGCAACCCCCTCATGGTGCCAAAGTCTCCACGTGGCTGAAGCCTTCAGCCTGAGCCATCTCAACGTCTCCTGCTGTTCTGGAAACGGCTGTAACCATCCAGTCCTGGATCGCCAGCCACGCACGGGGGGTGCCCCCCGGCGTGGCCCTGCCCACCTCAGCCTCACCGTCACCCTGCTTATAAGTGCCAGACTATGGGGGGGCACTCTCCTCTGGACCTGAAGCCCACACTCCCCCTGCCCTGGCTGGATCCAGGGGAACCCTTTGCCCTTCCCTCGGCTTCCAGCGCTGCAGATTTGCTGTGTGACCTCAGGCCAGTGTGCCGCCCTCTGTGGGTCTCAGCCATCCCAGCTGTCAAGACACCTGTCTCACAGAGTTGCAGAACCAGAGGAGAAAAGCTGGAGATAGGCTGCAGGCCAGCAGGAGAGGTCTTGTCATATTAGTATCGTTGCACCATCGTTGTTATTATTAATTAATATTTGTTTTATTTAATATTTTATACTGAAATAAAGATTTTTATACCAGTGAACAAGGCCCGATCTTCCCGTCTCTGTAGCATCTATCTTTGGGAGGATGAAGGCGGGGTGGGGGCACCTTTCCTGGAATCAGGGGTCACACTGCAGGACCGAGGCATTTGAGGCCCTAGCCTTGGGAACGATCCCATGTAGACTCCCACCCAAAGCCACCTCCACATCGATTTGTGGGCTCCAACTCGCTCACCCAAGCACTCACCTTCCAGTCTCTTCTCCCGAGCTCCAAAAGGTCAAGACTACTTTGTTGTTCTAAGGAGCAGCATCTGCCTCTCCCAGGGGGCTCTGAGACAGGAGATGAATGGGAGGGTTACTCTGACGGCCGGAGCTCCCTGGAGGCACTGCAGTGAGGAATAAGGACAGGATTACATCTCCACTGATGCCCTGGTGGCAGGAGATAGAGGCTGGGCTATATTTCCTAGGATGCCTTCAGACTCACCGAGAAAAAGACACAACTATCATCTCAATGGCACTCTGGGGGCACAACACTGAAGAATCCCATGCTTGCTGAGGCAAGCCCGTAGAGACAAAATTACATTCCCCAGCACCCTATGGCTAATGAACAAAAGGATAAGACATCTTCCAAGGTATCTGGGGGCAGGTAAGGGACAGGGTTTCCTTTTAGGACCTCCTCTAATCACACATCACTGATGGTCATTGTGGTGGCTTAACGAGGTGGGGTGGCATCTCCAGCTCTTGAACGTGAGTGGCTCTGTGACTGCTTTGGCCAACAGAAGGTGGTCTGGAAGCTATGTCATGTCGTGTTCTGGGCCCAGGCTTAAGAAACTGGCTCTGGGGAAGCCAGCTGCCGTGTGAAAGTCCTCCTACACTGAGACTTCCATGCCCTGGGGACACCCACGCTATTCATAACGTGGATGCCATATGGGGAGAGAGCCCCAGATGTTCCAGCCAGCTCAGCCCAGACACCAGACAAGTGGGCAAAGGAGCGACCCCGGACATCACGACCCCAGCTGACGTCACGTGCAGGAGAATCAGGACGCCCAGTTGTTTTCATTTCCTAGGACTGCCAAAGTAACTACAAACTTTCGAGGCAGGTGGCTTCCAGCAACAGAAATTTATTCTCTGAGAGTTCTGGATACTAGACGTTGGAAATCAAGGTATTGGCAGTAGATGTGCTCCTTCTAAAGTCGCTGGTGAAGAATCCTTCCTGGCCTCATCCTCGCTTCTGGGGGTTGCTGACAATCCTGGGTGTTCCTGGGCTTGGAGCCACACTACTCCAGTCCCTGCCTCTGTCATCACATGGCCTTCCTCTCAGTGAATGTGGCCCTGTGGCTCCAAATCTCTCTTGCTCCCTATAAGGACACCGGGTCATTGGATTTAGGGGCCCACCCTAATCCAGTGTGACCTCATCTTAATCACATCTGCAAAGTCCCTATTTCCAAACAAGGTCACATTCGTACCTCCTAGAGGTTAGAACTTCAACGTATTTCTCAGTGGGGACAGGGACACAATTCGATCCACACCACCAGCCAGCAGCGAGAGCCAAGGTTTCAGATATATGGCCCCAAATGAACCATCCCACCCCCCTACAGCTGTTTAAGCCAGCCCATTTGGGCCCCAGTTCATTGTGGGGCAAGATATGCACTGATCCCGCTGTGCCTTGCTCAAATTCTTGCCCCACAGAAATCATAAAATAAAAAGGTGAGGGTTTTCCACCACTGAGTTTTAGGGCATTTTGTTATGCTGCAGTGGTTCACAGGAACAGTCACTGGTTTGGTTTTTTTGCTAACTCTCCCCACTATAACCTCCCAAACGGGCAAGACCTTTATCGGCTCACTGCTGCTGTCTTCGCAGTATCTAGAAGAATAATGCCTGGAACGTGGCAGGTAATTAAGAAAGAAAGTAGGGAAGGAAGGAAGGAAAGATCACATCTTCTAGGGTATTGTGCAACAAAAACGGGGCTAGGGCTACGTCCTCTCCTGATTCCCCACAGCAGAGACAAGGCCAAGGTAACATTTTCTGAGACGCTCTAGAATGAAAATTGAGCGTAGTTTCACCTTTCCCATGATTCCCTACCACAGAGGTGGGAGGCAAGAACTACACCCACCATGAAGCCCTACAGCAGAGATTGGAGGGGAAGGAATACATTTCCCATGATGCCTTACAGCAGGAATGGAGGCTAGGACTGCATCTCCCATGAGACCGTGGGGCAGAGGTTGGAGGCTAGGATTACACCGCCTGGCATGCCCTCCAGTAAGGATCAGAGGTTTGAAATACTCGTCCCAAATGACCAACAGCAGATATTGAGGCTCGGGGATACATCTCTCATAATGTTCTACACCGGAGCCTGTGATCAGGACCTCATCGTTAATGGCTCCCAGGTTTTTGTGGAGGGATTTCGGTTGCAAGAAATAAAACCTGTTTAAGCTGACTTAAGCAAAACGACAATGTTATTGGAAGTTTAGAATCCAAGCAAGAGCTAGTCTCTGGGCCTCACCAGGGACAAGAAACAGAATTGAAAAGCTGCGCGAAATCACAAGGCTGTCTCCCGTTTGCAGAATCTCTCTGTCTCTCTGTCTCTCTCCGACTGTGTGGTTTCCCTCGTGGGCTTCCGCTTTATTTTTCTGTCTCTCCAAAGACCACCTTCTTCTGCTTCACACAGAGGAGCCAAACATGCCCTTGAAATGTCAAGCACCAAGAACGCCTCGTGTCCCGGTTCCAAACTGTTAGCTAGCAGACAGGTTCTGATGGGGTCTAGTTTGGGCCAGGCCTCTGCCTCTGACCCTCTCTGCTACACCCAGGGAAGTTCCTATCTAAGTCACTGAGTACAGTTGTTCAGGCTGTGAACAGGCATCCACTGCTCCTGTGGTCCTACTATGCAGCCCACTCGGCCAGAGTGGGGAAAGTGACCCCTAGGAGAGAGATCCGACCACAAGGTTGGGGGAACAACTGAAAAAGAAAACTATCACTTTAATCGTTAAGCTTTAATGCTTTAATCTGTAAGCAAGGCTGCCTCCATACATTCTGTACGAATCAGAGGCAACATGGAGGCCAGGGATGTGTGTGATAGGGCACCCAACTCAGATGGTTGAAACAAAGAAGAAATTGATTATCTTACATAACAAGCGATCATGAGTCAGGGCAGTGCCTGAGTTGACTAATTCTGCAATGTCCTGAAAGATCCATTCAGGCTTGTCCACCTCATGGCCTCAAGATGGCCGCGGCAATTCCAGACATCACACCCACATTCAGAGGCAATAACAAAAGGCCATCTCTTCGTGGGCCTCTTTTTTGAAACAAAGAAAGCTTAACCCAAAACTCCCAAGCCGACTTGCCCTCACATTGTGCTTGCCTGACTGGTTTCATACACCTATGCCTACAACAACCAGTGGAAGAGGCCGTGGAACCACAATATTAGGCAAAAGTATATTTAGACCGCACTCCTGAGGCTTCCCTCACATCATCTGGCTATTAAAGAAAGGTGGATGCCTGAACAAAATCAGGATTCTCTTAAAAAGGAAAAAGAGGAGGGGCGCCTGGGTGGCGCAGTCGGTTGGGCGTCCGACTTCAGCCAGGTCGCGATCTCGCGGTCCGTGAGTTCGAGCCCCGCGTCGGGCTCTGGGCTGATGGCTC